CCCCAAAAAAAAAAAAAAAAAAAAAAAAAAGTCAGTCCTCTCCCTAACTCAGCTTTTTACACACGATGCATCTTTAGAATTCCTGGACTCAGCTCCTAAATATCGATTGTGCAGGAGCAAGTCAGCAATTTGTGGTTTCCCGACAATGGCTCTGTGTTCTATTATAGAACTGGCTTGTTTCCACTTCCATCATCAGGCAGGGCCCTAGCCTTGCCTGTCTCACCTTCTTGCCTGGTGATCTGAAGCTATTCTGGTTGTGTCCTGTGGACCTCTCAGAGTGGGAACCACAGGATGGGCAGACTGCCCAGCTCAGCTACCAGAAAGAAAAAAATCCAAACAAAACTATAGCTCTTGCCCAGAGAAAGGATCATTATGATGCCCATTTTTTTTAAACTTAAAAACACTTTTGTGTGTGGTGCTAGGGATTGAATCCAGTACCTCACTCACATTGAATAAGTGCTCTACCCTTGAAAGCCACATCCCCAATGCCTGTTGCAATTGTTGTCAAAGTGTGCTTTTCTGTACTCTAAAGGAAAAAAAGTAGGTTTAAATCCAAAATGGCAACATCGACAGAGGGAAACAAGTACTCCATACTACTGGTGGGAAGTAAACTAATGCAATCACTTTGAGAGACAAATTGGTACTGTTTATTGACCTTTAAAATGTGCAAACCCTTTAATGCAGCACTTCCAGTTCTACAAATTTATCTTACAGCTATTCTTACACATTCTACAAAGATGTTTGTTCTTTTATTATTTATAATAAAAAATGTTATTAATAGAAATGATCATCTGTTAGAGATGTATTCGATAAATTATTGTTCAACCACACAATGGAACCCAATGCAGCCATGCTTAAAAACAAATAGTTCTGTATATTCCAAGACATTCTGCAAAATTTAAAAAGGAAAGGGCTGAGAATGTAACTCAGTAGTAGAGTATTTGCCTAACATGCATAAAGCCCTGGGTTCAGTTCCCCAGAACTGCAAGGCTGAAAGAATAAATAAATAAATAATTGTAAACAGGGTGCAGGAGAACTAAAACTATGAGTGTAATAAAAAGCATATGTATCGCTCAAGTGCCGGGAGATAGCTGGGCCCCGATCCACCGCAGGAAGGAGAGCCACGCCTGCTCCTGACCCAGCAGCCATCACTCAAGCGCCCAGAAGGTAGCCGCGCGGGTGCCGCTGAACCCCCATAATTCCCCCCGCCGCACTCTCAGACCTCCTGACTGTGCCAGTCTTTGGACCCACTCTGCAGAGGCAGAGGTGGTCATCAAGGGTGTTTTTCTGAGTTCCCAACTTTGAACATCTTTAAAGAAAGGGCGTGGGAAACCTGTAATAGAACGTTGTGGAGTTCAACCATTCAGAAGGTTGGGGAACTCAATCTGGGCCTTGCAGCCCGAGGTCAGTCAGTGTCATGGGGTTCAGCCATCAGCTAACTGAGACCAGGGGACTTGCATCCTCGCTCTGTCAAAGCCATTAAATGGTAAATACACTATATTGAAATTTTGTTCACTGCAGACATGTTCTGGACTGCTTCTTGATTTCAATTTAATTCAAATGATTTAAGGGTGATAGACTAGTGACTACCACAGGTGGTCAGTGTCCAAGTTGTGCTTGATCTTAATGTGGTGCTAATTGTATCAGTTGGGATAAAGCAATGCAGTTAATTTGATGAGCTGTTTCTCTGATGTTATGAAGATGAGAATATCTGTGAGTTGTTAGAGATACAGAAGCTAGGGCACAAATATATCAGGAAGATTTGGGTGATAATCCAGAGATTAAACCAAGGACAGTCCAACAACAAAAACAAAAATGAGAAAACACTTAAGCAAGACACAAGGACAGACTTCCAGTTCACCAATGGCAAACAGTAGGGCAAATGAGGATGAAAAGGCCGATAGTGAACCACCAGGACACCCTGAACTCAAAGCACAGGAAGTAACAAATTTCCCAGATAACCATAGAGATAGCAAGCAAAATGGAAGTTGCGATTCGAGACTCTAGAGCAGAAACTGACAATAAAATAGATGAGCTCAGGACCATGATAGAAGCCATGAAGGCCCAACATAGGAAAGAAATGGAATCTATAAAACAGATTCAAACAGATATCCAGGAGATTAAACACTCCATAGAAAGTGTACGCAACAGAATAAAAGAATGAGAAGATAGACTCTGAGATATAGAAGATAAGATTGCAGTCAGTGATCATGAAAAGAGAGGTCTCTTAAAAGCAGTAAGGGATCATGAGAAATCGATCCAACAACTCCTAGATGATGCAAAGAAGAATAACATAAGACTGATAGGAATCCATGAAGTAGCAGGAGAAAATACAAATGACTTAAAAAAGCTGTTCGCAGAATTAATGACAGAAAACTTCCCAAACAGAAGGGAAGAATTTGACATTCAGATAACTGAGGCATATAGGACCCCAACCAGCTACAATCAAAAAAAATCTACACCTAGACATATAATATTCAAGATCCCAGAAACCCAACAGAAGAACAAAATACTACAAGCAATAAGAGAAAAGAAACAAACCACATATAAAGGAAAGCCCATCAGAATCAAAGCAGACTTTTCAACACAAACCCTTGGGGAAAGGAGAGCCTGGAATGAGATATTTCAAGTACTAAAAGAGAACAAACTCCACCCTAGACTGATGTATCCTGCAAAACTCTCTTTTAAAATGGATGGGGAAATAAGACACTTCCACGACAAAGAACACCTGAGAAACTGCATGAATACCAAACCAGCA